GCTGAGCCTAAGGCAGGATTTGCAGCTCACCTGAATTCCCAGAGCCAGGACTACCGTGGGAGGCAGCCAGCTCCCTATGATTGGCGTTTTGCAGTCACAAAATCCCAGAATGGTTTGGATTGGAAGGAGCCTTAAAGCTCATCAAGTTCCAACCTCCTGCCGAGGGCAGAGGCACCTTCCTGTGGTTGCTGAGCATCCTCTGGAATGATCTCAGAGGCAACAGGGTCTCAGGAAAACACACCAGGGAATGACTTCACCTGCGGGGTTGTAGCTGCCCAGCACCACAGCAAAGTGAAGAAGTGCTTTTTTTTTGGCAGGAGGGAAAATCCTCTTGGACCAACAGGGTGTGAAATCTTGAACGAGGCCCTTGGAGCTCAGGACTAGGAGAGATGCTGCCAAAGACCCAAGAAAAAACACAAAGTAAAAGCAACTGAAGCTGGTGGAGCTGTTTGGTCTGGATGAGAAAATCCAGAAAACCGTATGAGTAATGGTCAAAACACCTGGAATAGACAGGGAGGCATTGCAAGGGAAAAGGGCCCTGGAGAGGGAGATTAACGTGTAGGGAAGAGGTTGGCAAATTCCCTTCTGCCCTTCCACAGTGACAGCCAACACTCCCAACGCTGCACGTGTTCACTGCTGGTGTGCTTGCTGCTGCCAGGTTAGGAGGAAATTGCTTTAGAGTAATTTTTTGAGAGATTTAAATTTTTGGATGGCATTCAAGCCTAATATCGAAATGAGTTATTTTATTAAAAGCGTTTAAATAGAAACTAAAGAGTGGTCGGAAGCAGGGGGGTTATTTTAGAAGGAATTTGTTGTAAACCTGCTGCACAGAAGCTTTCTAAAATATTACCCTGTAAAAACCCCATAATTCTCTTTATCTGCAATTTAATTACATTTCCCCTAGTGCCTGTGTCAGAACAGTTCACTTATTCTTGTTCTCTATTAACTCACACCTGCTCTAGGAAACTAGAAGGAAAAATTGTTGGCATACAGAGTCATTTGTGCGTTATTCAGGATCTCACTGAGCTCACAAAAAGGGTCTAATGAGGTGCTGGAGAAGTAGGAATTGGTGGTCCCATACTGGTGATGGCTGTGAGATGGCAATACCTGAAACTGGTGTAAAAGCAGAGGGAAAAGTTGGAGCACTCCCATGATCCAGGGATTTGTCCCATCCAGTGTTAGTGGACCAGAGTTTGATCTGTTTGGGACTGCAATAATGAATAATGGGGCAGAATCATCCAGAGCTGTGTGGATTGTGGATTTTAGTGACCTCCTCCAGCCCACGATGTGTGTTCGTGAGTGAGAACTGAGGGATGTCCTGGGACTGTTACGAAAATCTTCTCACTTGTGACCCCCTGCACTGCCCAGAGGGAACCTGGGGGCATGAAAATGATGTATTAAACCAAAAATGACAGGTTAGAAGTTAAATTTGGCTTGAGTTTTGGGGCAAGGGCTGCAGCTGACTGTTATTTAACAGGGACAAACCAGCCTGTGGTAACAGAGGCAGAGGATGAACCTCAACCTTTGGCTGTGGTTTAGAGGAGATTTCGCTGGCCACGGCATTTTTGCAGTGCTTGTCTTCTGATAACTGGAGATGTGATTTAGTCCCAGCCGGGATGACCTGGGCTTTGCCAGGGGAGGGTGAGAACAAGGCAAACATTTCCATGCCCCTCCAGGCCGTGAAGGAGGGGATCCAAGCTGATGGAGAGCCGGGATCTTTGCTGCAGTGCTGCTAATCGCTGTGCTTTTCTAGGAGGTTTTGCAGGGCTCTGCCTCTCCCCAGGGATGGTGCCTGGTGATAATGTGCTATCTCAAGGCATTTTTCCTGCTTATAGCACCAGGATGCCAGGGCCAGCAGTGCTTTAGCAGAGAGGAAGGTGACTACAAATTTCCAGGGAAAAGGCAATGACTTGTTAAACTGCAGAGGACTTTTTATTATTATAATTTGTTTTCTTTCTGGTTTTGGGGTATTCAAAGTCATTCAGCTCTGTCATGATCAAAAAGCAATGGAGATCCTATGGCTTGAGGTCTCAGTGAGCCTGTGACCCCCATCAGTGCCTGTGTGACACCGGGTGTTGTCACTGCTGGCTGTGCTGAGCCCACAGCTGGGGGATGTTGGTGCCATGGGTGAGGTTGTTGTTACAGTCCCCGGGGTGCCCTGGACATCCCATACGTGTTCTCTGGAGGATGGAGGTGGGTGCAGAAGAAAAAAGGAGGATTGGAGCCCATACTTTGGGGTGAGGACACCGAGGGAGCTTGCAGGGATGTACCTGAACCCCAGATGGGTTCAGGGGGTCTGTCACTCTACTGGGTGCGTTTTTTGTCATCCCGTGCCCAGCAATAGGACCCTCCTTTGCTTTGTGCCAAAATCTCCCTTGGCTCTGCTGACACCTGGGCTCTTCAGTAAAACTCTCCCACCCCTCCTGTCTGTGGAACTCCTGGAGACGAGCGATCTGAGGGGCATCAGCCTTCCCCAAAGCTCCGGGGAGCCGCTCGAAGCGAGGCGGGCGGGCGCTTTATTCCGGCACGGCGAGCGCTTTCGCAGGCATCCCCCCCTCCCCGCCCCCGATGCTCCCCGGCAGCCTTTGGCATCCTCCGCCCGTGCGCGGCCGTCCCCTGTCCCCTCGGGGGGACAAGCCGGGCTTCTGCTGCCAGGTGGGTGAGGCGGGGATGCGCTGGGATGCGCTGGGATGCGCTGGGATGCGCTGGGATCCTGAGCAGAGCGCTCGGGCTGCGCAGCCGGGCTGGGGCTGATGCGAGAGCGGCTCTGAGCTGCGCTGCTGCTGCTGCTGCTGCTGCCCGGGGAGATCTGGGGAGGGAGGGGAGGGGTGCCGAGGTGTGACTGTCACCCCGAGCAGGGGGCTGGCTCTGAAGAAGCTCTGCTCTCTCCCCAGAGCCTCTCTGACCGCGCTGTCGGCACAGACCCACCGGCAGAGAGGACAGGTCAAAGGCAGTGAGTATTCTTTTTCTCGGTGTCTGTCTGTCTGCAGTGCCTCTGTGCTCGTTTTTTTCCCCTGGCTTTCTCTGCATGTGAATGGATGGTCTTAATCTCCTGAAGCCCCCGAGAGATCTCATGGTTTGCTGTTCGGTTTATTTGTTTGTTTGGTTTTTTTTAACCTTTGTGCTGCTATTTTTTTGTATTGGGATGGCTTCTTTTTCTTTGCTCAGGTGGTTTGATAACCTGAACGTCCTAATCACACCCCTCCCTTGCTGTCTCTCAAGGAGAAACCCCCAAAACACACCCATGATGAGGCTGGGAATTCTCCTTGACCGGGTTCCCTCCGTAGGAGGGGGAGGCAGGATGAAGGACGGAGCAGGGGAGGCAAAACCCCTCACCAAGACCTTTATTGCCATTCACCAGACACCACAGATTACATTTTAAAGTCATAACTGACTGGATTTGTTTGCAAACAGAGGGAACATCCATGGGTATGCCAGCCGAGCAGCGGGATTGCCTCCACGGGAAATGTAGGTGCCAGCACCCCTGGAGTCAGGCAGACTTTGGGATCTCAGGGAAGTTGGGTGCTGCTCAGCCGTGCAGGTGGTTGCTGTGGGGGCTGAGTGGGTGGGAGTGGGGGCGAGCAGAAGGCTCTTTCATAACAGTACCCCAAGATTCAGGCTGCTGGAGGAGGCTGTGAGGGAGAGGGCTGATGGCTCTGCTTCCAGCTCGGAGCAGCAGTGGGAAAGAGAAGCAGGAGCTTCTGCTGGACTCTAGGAAGTCATGTGCTGTGGCCCCACATGTGGGTGAGGCTGTTAATGAGGAAATTTAAAAGGGCTTAAGGAATTACAAGGATTGATTTCAGTCAGAAGCAGCCGGTCGGGGTGAGGATTAAGGAAATGCACTCACTGGCAATGCAGCGCAATCCCCGTTCCATTAATTTAGTGGGGAAGAGGCTTTGTGCGTTTTTAATGTAATCAGCTTTTAAGAGGGATGTTGCAGTGGGCAGCCCAAGCTCTGGGGTCTCCCCAGGCCCCAGCAGAGCAGCGTCCTGACTCCTTGCACACCTCTCAGCTCTCATCAGCTCCCTGATGGTTGTTCCCAGTGACAACATGACAAGGAGGGTACCTGGAGCTTGGCAAATCAGAAACCTTTGCCTTTGCTCGTTGTAGAGTCCTGTTCTCTGTCCCTTGGCTCTCCTGTCTGGCCAATCTCACCTTCATTCTCTGTTCATGTGAGGGTTGTCAACCAGCTGCTCCTCAGTGTGCCAAGGCTCACGAGGACTCCGCCATCTCCAACCTCCCTCTTTCCTTCCCTCCTTCCCTCCTTCCCTCCTTCCCTCCTTCCCTCCTTCCCTCCTTCCCTCCTTCCCTCCTTCCCTCCCCTTTTGCAGGCTGTGCATCCCCTTGCTGGCTCCCTGCAGGCTCCCACCACCCCAAGGAGGCCTTGCTTGCTTTGAGTTATTTTTGTGTGAGTGCTTGAGCCTGTGGTGGGGAAAGGAGCAGCACCTGCAGATGCGTGAAGTCCTGCTGTTATTATTCTGTTTGCAGTGGCAGCTATTCCATGATGCCTGGCCTGTAACATCAGCCATGACCTGGAGGGACAGGCACAAGAGGTAGTTTGGTCTTCTTAGCGAGGTCAGCCCAGAGCTCTGCCTGTTGAGGAGAGACCTTCGGAGGTGTTGGAGGATGAGTGGGATAATGCCAACTCCTGCTGCTCCCTGGTGAGCTGGGACACCAAACTCAAACTGCTTTAGACCTCAAGCTGGACTTTACCTGCAGTCCTGGTCTTAGAAGGAAATGCTGTCTCTCCTCTGTGACCATCCCTCAACTCTCAACATCTTCCATTGAACAGTTGATTTTCCACGCTAGGAGGCAAAGATCAAATGGGTTGAGGACAACTGGCCCTTCTTGGCTTTGGCAAAGAGGATTCTTTGGTGTATGATTAAGTGCCAGGACATGAAACAGTAAATCCCTTCTTCCTGCACTCCTGCCTCCTGCAAGCAGCCCCGACTGCGGTCCAAGCCAGCCAGTTAAAGGGTTAACCATAGCTGGATGCCTGAATGGCTGCTTTACTGATCCCACGGAGGTAACTGGAAAGACAAAGTGCATCCCTCACCCCTGCCCATCCTGTCGGTGTCTGCCTAGCCCAGCAAGCCCTTCAGCTCACTGCAGTGTCCCCTCTTTCCTCCTGCCCTTCCCTTGCCTCCCCGCCTCCTTCAGACCCAATTTCTTCCCCCCCACACCTCTCTCCCTCTCTCCTGTGTCCTGTCTTGGGAAGTCCTCACCAGGAGAAGTGTGTTCCATGAGGAACCAGCTCCCTGCTCTGCCCACCGCCCACTCTGATTCCCTGCTGCAGCCCCTTGATCTCAGGCATCGCGGGGACTCCGAGCAGCGCTGCGGTGACGCCTGTCGCACCTCTGGCTGGGAAATTTGGGAGCAAACAGAGGCACAGGGCACTGAAAGGTGGGGGATAGAAGGCGTCTGGGGAGGTACCAGAAGGATCCTGCAGCTCCACTGGAGCCCAGTTGGGAATGTGGCACTCCCTGTGCTCTCATCTGGAGTTTGTGGAGTGCAGCATCCCGGGCCCATGGCCCTGGGGCCGTAGTTGGAGGCTGTGCAACAATTCCTGGGACTGAGGAGTTCCTGGATTTTGTGCTTGTTAAACGCTGCGAGATGCCTGTGCTGCACCAGGGAGACACTCGGTGCATTTAATTAACATTTAATTTGCTTCAAGATTACATTAAAATGTGCAATAATAGAAGCTCTCCGAAGGGCGGGAGGAGAAGGGGGAAACAGGCGCGCTACAGATTGGCTCAGGCACTGGTGCTGAAGTGTTCTGCAAGAATTACAGATGGAAGGGGGAAAAATGCTGTACTTGTGCAGCCACAGAAAGTATTCGGCATCTGTTTGGCAGCAGGGCTTGGAGAAGGGCTTTCAGCAGCTCCAAGTAGGTCCAGCAGCTGAGAAGTGGAGACGGTGTCGCTAAATGCTCCTCCCGTGGTCCAGAGAAGGGAATGGCCTGGTTTGATGTCCAGGGAATCTCAGAGAAGAGATGCCCTGGGGCTGGAGAGGCAGATCACAGAGCCCGTGCAAACCCACAGAGCAGCCCCCACGTGTTTTTGGGGAGAGGGTGATGCCAGTCCCGTGCAATTCATGTGTGTGTTCTCTTTCCTGTCCCTCTGTCCCCGTCCATCCCGGGTTATGTAATGAAGGATGCTGCGGCTGCTGTCCCGGGAAGGGGCTGGGCAAGGACACCAGAGGCTGGCACAGGATTGAAGGCTCTGAGGCTGGGCCGAAATTTAGAGGAAAAAAGCAATAAAGCCATTTTCTGCCCGGGTAAGCGTGTCAGGAAACAGGCAGTTTGATCCTGCTTATGTAATCCTGAGTCTAAAGAAGCCGCTTGGGATCGATCCTGGCCGGGAACTCACGGGGCTGCAGCACAGGCTCACCTTGCAGGTGCCTTACTCCTCCTCTCCTTCCCCCAGCCCTTTCCTGCCCTCCACCTCTGGTTTCTGGTGCTGCTGGAACGTGGTGACTGATTTCTTGTACTGCTGCCCATTGCTCTCCTCCCACACCTGACCAGAGCAGGACTTTCCAAGAAACCATCCCAAAGCGCAGCCTTCCAAAGCCTTTTTACCAGCCAAGGCAGCTGAATGCCTGGTGTGAGTGAGCCTTCAGCTGCTCTGGTGCTGTGTTCACCCTTAACATCTGCCTGGAGATGTCTCAGGGTCCCTCTCATGTCTGAGGACACAGATCTGGCACAGAGCCGCTGAGGGTTTTTTTGGGTTTGTACTTTTTCTTTTGCCAAGCTGGCTAGACTTATAATCATCCTCTTCTTTGGTTTTCCCCTGCTAACACCCCTGCTTCCCCACCTCGACCACAGGAACAGAGGGATGAGGACTCGCCTGGGCTGCCTGTCTCACAAATCAGACTCATATAATGATTTCACAGCTATTCTTCCGGACAAGCCCAACCGGGCTTTGAAGTGAGTATAGCTGCAGCATCCCACCCCGACCCCACTCCTGCCCTTCCCCTCCCCACCCAGCACGCCCCCTCCAGTATTGTCTTCTTTTCGTTGTACTTTGTGTGAGCTGGGACTGCTTCCACGAGGAAAACAAACCAGCACTGATCCAGCAGGAGCAGCCTCAGGAAATACCTGGATCCTTGACATGAGACAGGACATGCTCACAGTGCCCACCCCTGTGTGGGGGACATGTCTGCACCTATTTGGGGATGTAATTTACACCTCTGTCATCACAAATCAAAGCCTGAGCACTTGGCTTGGTGTAAGAGGTGACCAGAAATTTCAGGTCATCTTCAGCTCAGCCTGGTATTTCGCACTGCCAAAATTTGGGTGATGGTTTGCACAATGCTTGAGGGAGATGCTTCAAACCCTCCAGAAGTCCTGATTTGAGATGTGTGGGATGGAACTCATCTGATCACAGGTCCCTGTTTACACCTGAGCTAAGATCTGTCCTTCCCCTGAAAGGCAAGCCAGAGAAACAAATACTTCTGCAGGGCTGAGTTTCATTTCGCCTGACTTTTGGCTTTTACAATGTAAATGTCTGCATCTGAGCTTGTTCCCTGGGCCTCTGCTTAGAGCCAATGAGGAAAAATGGGTCCCTTTTTGGGTATGATTCATCTGGCCTATTTTACCTGCCTGCCTGGGGATGTGACATGAGCAGAGATGAGTCCCTGCAGGTGCCTTGGTATCTCCTCACTGATTCTAAAGGAAGCCCAGGGTCGCTTGGCTCAGTTCTACACTCTAGACCTCCAAAATCAGGTGAGAAGGATTCCAGCCTCCCTCGGTGTCCTCATCACACAGCTCCAGAGGGGATGAGCAGCCGTGGGTTGTCCCTAACTTGCCCCTTCCTTTCCTTACAGAAGACTGTCAACAGAAGAAGCAACAAGATGGGCAGACTCTTTTGATGTCCTTTTGTCTCATAAATGTGAGTAGAGATCAAATTCTACCTTTTTTTTTTCCCTCCTCTGCCCTTACCCCCTGTCCAGGTCTCTCAGAGCTGCTCACTCCCAAGCAGTCACCATCCTTTACGGGCAGGAAAAATAAGAGTTTTGTGTGTTCCCATTACCTCTTTGCTCCTGACCACGAGGAAAACCACAACTGCTCAAGCCATCAGCCCAAGGTGCTGCCTTTTCCAGCTCAGTACCCTTGACCAGCTTGCCCTGTCTCACAGGAATCACCCGTGGAGCCCCTGAGCAGAGCTTGATTTGCAGTTATCACAGCAAACCTGAAAATTTCACATCCAGAGACCTTATGCCAACCTGTAATCAGCACTCCCTGCTCTGTTCAATCCTGTGAGTCCTGCTCAGCAAACATTGCTCTGCTTCACCAGCATTTTCACACTGAGAAATTATAAACAAAGCAAAGTTCCCAGTATGGGTTCATTCACGGGCTTCTATTGGAGAATAAAACCCGAATGAGCCAAGGCTGGTGAAAAGTCAACGTGGGTGCTGAACTCTTTTATGGCAATCAGGAGCTGTCTGGCTTGCTTAGAGACTCAGGTTTTCCTTACATTTTAAAATGTAAATGTAGAATTATATTATTAAGCAAAGGGTAATTTTGCTAGGTTTCTACTGAGATGACAACAGTTTTGGCAGGGAATTAAGTGACAACTTTAAACAGGCTGGCTGACCAAGGCAGGAAAAGCAGGATGTAATTTTAGCAGCAGTATCTAGTTGAGATCATTGCTCTTGCAGCCAATAGGGGAAAAAAATATATGGTGTAGCTGGGTATGGCTAAAAAGGAACATTTCTTTTGTGGAAATTGAGAACAAGAGGGGGAAATGCACCAAGGAGATTATAGGGTAATCACCTGGGGGGTGGAGAGAGGGGAGGGCAGGATATTCACATCCCTGTCATCATCCTGAACTCAAACACATTTCTTCTTCACTGGTGTAAAAGTAGAAATTTTCTTTATTGAGCTGCAGAAGAAGCTCTTGGATTACAAACCCCAGTGAATTTACCCACCTATGTCCTGATGTTATACAGATTATTCCCTCTTCAGCTGACTACTGCAAAAATCCATGCTAAGTCAAACCTTAGTTCAATTATTTTGTCCAGCAGCCTCCACCAGGGTGTCTGGTTTTATTAATAAATTGGCCTTATAGAGTGATAAATGAATTATCAAGATTTCTCCCATCTCTTAGAATGGAAAGTAATTCTGATAACTCTCTGGCACTAATGAAAAATATTCAGTTTCTAATGAAAAATATTCAGTTCCTAATAGCAACAGAAGGTGATCTTTAAAATTTAAATTAATCTTTTTTTATCAGCAGTCACGGTGACATTGCCTGGTGATTGGTGGCAAAAAAAATTGTTGTTTAATAAACTACTTTCTAAAGGAATATTTTATAAATGCTCTGCACCTGAAGTTTCTGGAATTGTCAGCCTGGCAGTCGAGGGTTATAATGATGCAAATACAAAAAATTCTGTTGAAACAGAAGTGTTATTTTAGTTACACTGGTTTAAAGGAGAGAAGAGCATGTACTCATAGAATTAATTATATTGTACAAGTTGCATTTTTGCTGTTAGGATGTGCTGATGTTAGACAGCTAAGGGAGCCTTATGCCTTAACTGGCCAAAATCTGGGAGTAAATAAAGCTGTGCCTGGCCTGCTGGCATCTGTCTGTAGGGAAGCTGCCAGCAAAAATTCTGCTTTTAGTGCCAAGAGGAGGACACAACTGTCCCAGTTTAATTTCCCTGTGACTGCTCAGGTGAACAGCATTAGCCAGGGAAAATTGGAATTCATGCTTGGGGGCATGGGCTAAGCACCAGCTGGGCTTGAGGAGAATTCCCCCCCGGGCTCACAGCATCAGCAGGTAGAGCTTTTCTGCTTGACACATCTGTCAGAAACTGTCTTCACTAGATGGACAGTTCATTTGTTTTGGAAAGGACATTGTGATTTCGGGGGCTTGTGTGCTGCTTTCTGCTGCAGTCTGATGGTTTCAATCCCTTCCAGCCAAACTGTTCTCCAGGGAAAATAAACCCCCAAGTACTCAAGAGGGGCTCAGGAACTGGATGGAGCAGCTGAAAACGAGGCAGACCTTGTGGGCAATATTGCAAGGGGTCGGACAAGTGGAAAAACTGCTCCAAGGAGCAGGAATGTGGATCAGAGCTCCCTAAGAGGCTCTCCAGAGTGCCCAGTGAGCAGGCTGCCCTCGCACACGGAGGAGGCTCACAGGGCTGCAGCGCTGTGTGAGATGGGGAAAAAACTCTTCTTCCCCTTCCTGTTTTCATGAATCTCCCAGGGGTTTCTAAATGGAAGTGACCCGAGGAGGTGCCGTGCATTAACAGCCTCCGTGGAGAGTCTCATCGTGCCAGACTGGCCGGGGATTTGAGTCACCTGCTCTGGTGGGAGATGTCCCTGCCCACGGCAGAGGGGTTGGAACGAGATGGTTTATAAGGTCCCTTCCAGCCCAAACCATTCTGTGATTCCGTGATCACCTTTGCCACACATCCCTTGAAGTGTGATGGCCCTGGGGAGCTCCCCCTGATCTCCCCTCACCCTTCTAATGAATGAATGACTCTGCAGGCAATGTTTGATCCTGAACTGCTGCTGTGGGGCAGCACCGTGAGAGGGGGATTGAAATCACTTGGGATTTGAAGCAATTGTCTTGTCTTGGGAGACTCTCCAGGCTGGGTAATGTCCCTCTTTGTAGAGTGGTCTGATTTGGATTAATTCCCCGAGCCGTTCAAAGGATGATTTGAGTTGACGTTTACAAGAGATTGCGAGCAGGAAATGCGGGAGGGCTCTCCCCACCTCGCTTTTGCCCTGGCCCTGGGACTCAATTCCCTCATCCCTCCTGGAGTGAGCAGCAGGATGCAGATAGATAGGCCAGTGCAATGATATCCTAATTGTTTTTGCTAATGGGTGAAGCAAATCAACTCAGAAACCCCGGGGTCAGGCAGACAATCCCTATTTTCCATCAGGAGCCCTATCTGAGCTCACTGCCAGACGCAAGCTGTGTTCCCTGGGGTCAGCAACAGGAGAGGGGAGCCTGATGCTGCTCTGGTCAGGGAATTGAGAGAGCAAGAGGCAGACCGTGTGCAGCCTTTCCTTGGGTGCCCAGGGAGAAAAAACAGTGTTTTTAACACGCAGGATTTTGGCATCTTTTCCCATTTTGTGCCAGGGAAGCAAACTCGGAGTGGTCCCCAGAGTGTGAGTGCAGTGTGAGTAACTGAGGAGCAATCCCCTCGCTGTGCCCATACCCAGGAGGCACAGGCTGGCCAGCCAGATGAGGATTTCTTCTGACAGGCTGCTGGAGGGAAATACAAGCAATAGCATGTCTCATTCTGTGTCCCTCACGGGGCTGGACACATGGCTTATCCTTCGTCCAGCATCCAGTGGACAGTCTGTCCTCAGCCCTTGGTCGCTTCTCAACAAAGCACTCGACACCAAAAACCTTCATGCTGAATTCCCACTTTTATCTCAAGGGTAATTTTTCCCCAGATTTTTTGAAATCTGGAGGAAAGGGTGAATTTCCCCCAGATTTTTTGTGATCTGCGTGCTCTTCCGCCCAAACTTTATTGTTGTTCTCCTCCTTCTGTTGTCTACACATTCCTTCACTTCCTACACAGCACAGGAATATCCCAACCTACTCTCAGCTCTTTCTAAGCCAGAACAGCATTAGCATTGTGCTGGTGACAGGCAGCTGAGATTAAGGGAAGCACTGCTCAGCAGCAGTGAGAGCACATTCGTGTGCTGTGCAGGGCAATTGTCACCTTGTCCATCCAGCCCCGGGCCCAACACACTCCATGGAGCAAATCCATCCATCCATCCATCCATCCATCCATCCATCCATCCATCCATCCATCCATCCATCCATCATCCAACCATCCATCCATCCATC